GGTCGAGGGCGGTAGTGTAAGGGCACCGCGAGGAGGTATGACCGTCCAAGCGGCAGCGCAAACACCCACACCGGCCCAAAATAGCCGCGCACTCCTCAGGGGAAAGGACACCACGAGGAGGGACGAAGCCCTGAGGGAGGTCCTCCTGAGGGACCTCGGGGGGCGATGCGCCAGCGTGACCGGGGCGGCTGCGTGCCCGAGAGAGGGCAGAGAGCGCGAGCTGAAGGCGCTCATCTGCAGGGAGGGTAGAGTCCTCCAAGTGATAGTGGACGGCCTCGCAAAGATCGAGGTCGTCGCTGTGGTCGCCCTCAGATGACAGTGGGGCAACAGCGTCTTGCTCACCATACTCCAGCGCGCTGAAGTGGCACGAGAAGTGGCGGCCCTGCTGCGTGGAACGGCGGGGGCGACCGCGGAAAGGGGAACGACGCTGGGAAGTGCCGAGAGAGGAGGAGGAGGCGTAGCCCGTGCGCTGGGGCTGGCAGGAGGAGGCGGGGTGAAGACGGGCTCGCATCCGCTGGTGGTCCCTGGCGGCCTCGTAAGCCTGTGGGGCCGATGTGAATTCGTACCGCCATAGCTCGGAGCGGTACTCGAGCGGAAGGCTGGCCAAGAAACGATCGATAAGGGCAGCGTCAGGGAGGAACGCCACGTCGCAAACGAGGCGGGCGTCCTAAAAGACCTGGATGTGGCAATCCAGGCCGGCAGCGCCACCAGAGTCGGACCAGCGTGTAGTGACGACACCCTCGAAGGCGTCAGTCACGTCGTATCGGGCTCCGAAGCGATCCTCGAGGAACGCCTGGAAATCCATGAAGGTCGGAGTCTGACCCTCACGAAGGGAGTAGGCATAGAAATCCTCCCAGACCTCGAAAGGACCGCCACACAGGCGCGTGGAGAGGTGACCCACCCACGTCTCGGGTGTGGCGCCCACGAGCTGGAGTGTGCGGGTGGCAGACTGCAGCCACCGAGACACGCGTATGCCTGTACCGTCATACAAGGCAATGTCCGACAAGCGGATTAGTGGTGCACCACCGTTTTGGCGGCGAGGGGATCGAGGAGCGGAGGTCTGTGTCACGGCTGAGTAAGTCGGCGCAGGTCCTGGAGAAAGGGGCGCAGCTGACTGTGCGCCCGGGCCGCATGGGGGAGCGGCGGTGGCAACAGCGGCAGGCTGCGAGGGTGCTGCGGTAGAAGAGGTCGCAGCAACCGCGCGAGTAGGAAGAAGGTAGGAAGGAGTTGTATAGGGTGCAGGGCGCAGAAAGTGAGCCTGCATGGGAGGAAGGGTAGAGGAGGTAGGGGGTGCGCCCGAAGGCGCGACCACCTGTGAGGGTGGGGGTGGCTGAAGGCGTAAGAGGGCGAGGTTGGCCCGGAGCTGGGCAATCTCGTCCTCGAGACCTTGAACGTAGGTCGTGCGAGGGGTAGCAGGGGGAAGAGTGGAGGAAGTGGATGCACAAGCGGCGCGGGGCATCCCAGAGGGGGGAGAGCCAGGTGGCGCTGCGGTCGTGCGAAGGGGGGGGAGGAGCGGGGCACCCGGAAACATTGAGACCATGGTAACGGGTTATGGTCCCGTGGCCGTCGTAACCGGAATCTGGGACGGTGCGCCCGTAGACTGAGGAAGGGCCTGACTCGTGACGGCCGTCGAGCTAGGGGCGTGGACGGTCACCAAAATGRCCGGGTCGGGGGCGGCAGAGGAGGAAACTCCGCCGTGGCCACCCTGTCGGAGAACTGAGGACCCGGATTGAGAGCCAGGAAAAGAGAGAGGATGAGGAGAGGAAGGACGACCAGCGTTCTGGAGTTGCTGCACGCCGGCGGCAAGGGTCGCCACCTGCGCCTGTAAGGGTCCGAGGGTCGTGAGTTGCGCTTGGATGGGCGCGAGGATCGCGAGTTGCGCCTGGATGGGCGCAAGGAGGGAGGTGAGGAGGGTGTGTAGATCCCCCTAGGGCTGATGGCCCTGGTCCGCCGGCACGGGTGTGGAGCCCGATGTCGTGGTCATCGCCGTGTCGACGGCGTGTAACGCACCGTCGGTCATGGGTAGATGCCGGACCGGACTGGAGGGGGCCGGAAGAGGTCCGCGTGACCGGAGGGCATAGGGGGAAGTCCGCGGTAGAAAGCGGCGAACGGCGCTAGCAAGGCTAGCATGGGCGTCGTCAAAGGGGGAGGGGTGGTTCGGGTCCAGGGTGCCCGAAGAGGACGGGGAAGTAGGGGGGTTTTGAGGAGCCCTAAACCCTACAAAAACCCTAAGAAAACCCTAACCGAGGTTTAAGGCTAGGGTAGGGTACCGGTAACCTAATCAAGAAAGTAAAATGGCAAGCATAAGGGGGGGGGGGGGAAGACGGGAGAAAAATAAATAAACAGCGAAATTTCGACAGGAAATAAAAATAAATAAATAAATAATAAGTAATAAAAATAATTAAAAAAATAAGTAAAAAGATGTGAAGAAAAACAATATTTATTTTTTTGAAATTTTCGGCAGCATTTCCCTACCCCCCACGGGGTCAAGAATGTGCCAAGGGAAAAGGAGAGACCGAGGTGTGCACACTAGAGATGCTGCAAATAAATAAATAAAAAAGAAATTTCAGAAAATAAATAAGAAATAATAAATAAATAAATAAGTAAATAAGTGTGTGAGGAGGTGAGGAGAAATGGGTTATCTAATTTTTCAAAAATTTTGGCAGYATTTCGTTACCCCCATGGGGTCGAAGTGTGCCGAAAAGACTAAGTAAGAGAAAATCAGAAAATTTTGGGAGTACTTCGTTACTTCCACGGGGTCAAAACGTGTGCCGAAAGCAAGAAAGGCTAACACCTAATCAGATTTAGGTTTGCCGCCAAGAATTTTCAGAATAAGTAAAAAAAA